TGTCTATAGTACTTAAAGAGAAAAACATCTTTAGGAAACCAAACTTTGCAGGATTACTAGGAGAAAGTACACAAGAACCAATCCAACTGATCAACAACATTTGCGAGAAGGCAAGAGAACAAAAGAAAGAACTTTGAGTCCTGTTTTAAGACACAGCCAAGGTCTTCGACACTGTCAACCTCGACATGCTGCATAGAGCTCTAAACAAACTTAAAATTCCCATACTAATGTCAGACTTGCTAATTATACTGTTTCAAGAAAGAAGCTTCAAAGTTATAACAGATCAAGGCTTCACAAATACAGTGTCAGCAGGAGATGGCATTGACCAAGGGAATGTCATCTCACCACTCCTCTGGTAAATCTTCTATGACCCTTTGCTCTGCAAAATTCAAGAAAACACAAACATGAGATACACTATACAATGTACTTGGAAGCCAAACGTTTTATCAGATCAAAGCCAAATACTCAAGTTACAAAGTGCAGCAATAGCATATATGGATGACACTACCTGGATATCCCACTCCAGAGCAAACCTGTAAGAGATCTTAGCTGACACCAGGGAATTCTACAAAGCAAATGACTTACAAATTAACAGCCTTAAATCAGTCCTATTAAACATAAATAGTATGAAAAAACCAGAAAACAACTCCGTAAAGGCTGGAATAGACCAAGCACTAGTCTGCAAAATGGAGGCCCACGAAATAACACGATTCCTAGACGTCTGGATCGGAAGCAAGGACTCCAAAAAAGATATAATCTGTCAGGTCCAATATGAAATCGACAGAATAATATCAGTATTCAAAAACAAAAGAGCAATAGACAAACAAGCCCTATACATATTCAACAAGGTTCTGGTTCCAAGAATCGAATATAGAATACAAAACTGCCACATTTCCCAAAAAAAATTGCGAAAAGCACACAAGACAATATAGGAAAATACTGAAACACAAAACAGAAGTTTGTAGCACCATCCTCAACGATACCATATACAATAAAGAAATCTTTGACTTAAAACACATATGGAATCTTTAAACAGAGTCACAAATTACTGGACTTATTAACAGTCTTAATGACAGGGGAGCTGCTGGCAAATTAACAATAATAAGGCTCAAACAGGTCCAACTCAAAAACTGGGAACCGACCAATATCCTCTCAAAGGACATTCCAGACTTCTTTAACAGTAAAGGCAACTTTGCAATCACAGTCTTAAAGCTAGCCAACAAAATAGGATTCAAATTTCAAAACAAACTCCTAAAAGATAACTTCCAATGGGCAGGAGGCTTCTCTACTATTAAGAATGGACTAAATGATGATCACCTTTACAAAAAATCCATACAATCACTCAAAAAGAGACAGCTCATATATATAGACCAGCTAATTGACACCAAGCTTGGAATCCTACTAGACTGGAACCTCATCAAGCTAACACTACCAGGCTCAAACAAAGGACGTACTCCACAATGGCATAATAGACTCAGAGAAAGGATCACAAATAACAAAGGCTTTAAACTAAATAATAACTGAATAATCAGGCCATGGAAAGAAAGCAGTACAAGTTGGTTCAGTAAGGTCTCCCTAGACAAAAGGATCAAGGAGTGGTGTGTATTCAAAGACAAACAAGATAAAATCCAATGGGGAAAAATACAAACAAAGAACAACTCAGTGGACAGAACACTTATATTTTTTCATTACAACTGTATGGCATCTGGGCCTAAATAAACTCTTCTTAAGGCCAACTATAAATCTATCAGTAATCTATATGACCTCCAAACAGACTCATTACCAGAAAGCTCAAACAAAGTCCAAGTAAAAGAAAAAAGGATCTTGGGTTGCAACCTTCTAAACAGAATACATGGCAACAACAGAACCTCAGAAATAAGAATTCTATGCAACCCCTACATATTAAAAAAACAAGTGATGACAGTATTCAAAATGATACCAGATTATAGGAGAAGAACTAAATTCCAAAAGGTCACAATACTGGATTGGGATATAAACCTAATCAAGAAAACAGTCAAGTCAAAAGATTACAAAGAGGATCTTATAGAAGTCCTGCTTAACAACAAGTATCCAAGGTACTCAAATATTACACAAACAATTTGTCAATATGAATTTTACACAGACGGGTTCCTGTTAAACAGAGGAACAAGCAAAGAAGAGACCAAAATGAATGCTGTATGGATTCAAACCCAAGGGCACATTCCTAATAGCAGATTCCAATGTGGAGTTCAAGACTGGCCATCATTATATAGAGCAGAGGCCACCACCATATTAACAGCGATTCTCACAGTACCAAGAGAAAAGGAAGTTACTATTTACATTGACAGTCAAAACTGTATCAATACCTTCACCATAATCTCCAAAGCCAATCTCAAGCTGATTCACAAAAGATGACTGAAAATAAATAACTGGTCAATCTGGCAAGACATTATAGAAATCACAAAAAAAAAAGATCTCAAGCTTAAGCTCAATAAAGTTAAAGCACATTCTGGCAACAAGTACAATGAGCAAGCAGATTAGCTCACTAAACAAGCAATTCAACTACCAGCAATCGCATGGCATCTATCGAGTAGCAAACACATTCAAATCATTACTACCTGGTACAATAAGATAGTAGACACAGCCCCAAGAAACTTTATTAAGGAAGTCAATAAGACAGTGAATGTGAAAGCCTGGGCAGAAGCTGGAAGAATACGACAGCTTTTAGGACAACAGATTGATCAACAAAGGAGCTATATCTGGAGGCAATTCTGGAACAATCTAAAACTTAATGGATTGACCACATCTTTTAAAGAATGCAAGAAGAAAAGCTTCTGAATCAAATTGCTGCACAATGAACTACCAACATTAGACAAACTCGAAATAAGGAAACCTTGACTTTACAATATATACAATATTTGCAAAGTCTGTAGCATGGAACCCAAGACAAGAGAACACCTATTTATATGCTTAGGACTTGAAGAACATATCAGCGAAGTATGGTCAAAAGCCATGCAAAGGCTTACAAAAAATCTTCAAAAAGCCTGCAAAAACTTAACACATACACTAGAGACAACTAATCTAGACGCAGTCACAACATATTTAATGCAAAAGGTGTTTCAGAAAAAAAATGAGAGGCTAAACTTTGCAATTGGGCTAATATCAGAGAACCATATGACAGAACTTTGCAAACAAACAAATACTAAAATCTCCTAATCCAAGGCCTGGCAATTGTTGTGCAAGACTGCTATCAGCTTCCTTAAGCAATTTAGAAAATCGATGTGGAGATACAGGTGCAGCATTACAATAGCAGCTGATCAGATTATAGGTCTGAACCTAAAGATCAAGAAAGGTCCTGTACCTTTATCATCGACGAAACTTAGTTCAGACATGGATTTCAATCTGAAAAACCATATCTCCAGGTCTATAGAAATTAACAATGCCATCAGTACCCAGTCATCAAATAATCAAAATAACAAAAGAAAGAAAAGGGGAGAAAAGACAAGGTACAAGACAGAAGATTATATAAATAAACTAGACAAGGTTAGAAAACTAATACAGGAGTTCATAGAAAGTGGGAAAAAATAGTTAGTGCTTAAATAAAAACTCAATCTGGATTTATGACATATGATCTGTAAAAATGATCTGCAGGCTTTGACTCTATTAAACAAATGGGATCTTAATTCCAATTAATGGACAAGCAATATATCATCCCTATAAATCATATCTAGAGACTCTTTGTCACAGACAGGTGAACTGAATTGGGGAAATTTATATATACAATTAATATTTGTAATGGTTCATTTTGATTTAATAAATAAATGACACCAACCTGATTGAGAGAAAATATATATATATATATATATTATTTATTAAATATTTTTAATAATAATTTATAATATACTTTTATATATTTAATTATATAAACTTATATTATATAATCAAGTTTATATATCAAATAAAATTAAGTCAAGAAATAAAAATCTTATTATTAATTTAAGTTATTTAAACTTATTAATTCAATAAAATAAAAAGCTTATATATTTTTTGTTTAAAATCTTAAAGAATATAATATATTCTTTATTATTATTTACAACTTCAAATTATGTAATAAATATTTTTTTTAAACAAGTATCAAAATTGGAATAATCTTAAATTAAAATTTTTTTTATATTATAAAATCTATTACATATATTAAAAAAAATATATAAACTTATTATTAAAATTAAACTAAAAGTCTTATCTTATATAACTTTTTTATTTGGATTTGTTTTCAACCTATAATTATTTTTTATTTTTTATTTTTTATATCTAATATATTTTATATTTTATTTCTCATAACAATATAAACAAACTGTTATTTCTATATGCATATTCATTAGTATATTCATAAGGCAAATACAGTATACAAAGTATAAGCATATAGCATAAGAAAATTCAACTTCAAAATCCGCATTCAAAATTACCGTACTACCCAAACATACAAATTTAACGAAAAATACTATAAATTTGGGAAAGTAGTACAACAAAAAAGTCATTTAATCTCTTTACTATATCAATTTATTATATTATATAGTATTGCGATACAAGTAAATTAAAATTCGAAAAACCGCATCAAACCATATTATACAGTAATTAAACAGTTTATTTATTTCTAATATATGGTATTTATCCAATATACTGTAGATGATGTTTCAAATAATGTATAACTTATTGTAGTTTCAAAATTGCTAAGTCGTTATTGAAAGGTTAAACTGTTTCCTTCTACTTCCTTCTTGATTTTGTAAAATGTGTCATGAATCAATTTAAACAACATTTCTTTATTACGTAATTATTTGGTCACAGAATTGACTTCGGCGATTCTCTTTTTTTCACAGCCCTATCGTAGTCAAAAATTAGTTAGCTCGTGAATGACGTAACAACCGATGTCACGAAAGAACAATTAGCTCATCTCATTTTAAAACTTTCTTCGTTATCCATTTTATTTTTTCTTTTCTTCTTCGATATCTTATAAATAAAAGATGTCAGATTCTCGGACCAATTTATTATCTTCGGTAATATCACAAAATCCTGAGCATACGTACTACACTTTACCGCCGGAAACATTCTCAACCAACTCAGGGGAATCTATAAGAACCCTTCATCAATTAAATGATGATAACCACAATGCATTTTTGGAAATTAACGAAAATCTTGTGATTGTTCGTGATGTAATCAGGAATTTGGTGCCTCTTGGCTCAATTAAAAACTCGGGGGATTTAATAACAGATACTGTAGTGGATTATGTATTTGAAAAATGTAAAAATCATTCGAATGTTGTTTTTGTCACTCTTCACTACGCAAGAGAACTACAAGAGGTGGATAAAATTAATGATGTTCACGGAAGAGGAGGACCTGCCGTGCGGAGCATGAGGAGAAAAAGAATCGAGTGTGGTGTGTTTTTGGCTAGGGAATTGTAAGTGAATGAAAATATAAATGGCATTCGATACTCGGCATGATGAGTTAATTCGCTAAACCATGAAATGTTTCCTTTATTCTTCCGAAATAGGGTTCATAAGTTCAAAAATCAAGATCTAATATTTGTTGAAGTATTAACAAGGCGTTATGCCTTTTCTCAATATGATGACGTGAAATGTCGCAAAAATGGTAGTGTATTATAATTTTAGCTGAATTTATTCAAGTTGTAAGATGAATTGACTTTCATAAATATCTCGCAGCTTTAGAACTTGCGGTTAAATTGCACTATAATCATGGAGATTATGGTGGTGTCTTTTTGGCCGACGATGAAGTTCAGGCTTGCATTTATGTGATTATCACTTGATGCAATTATTATATGAAAAATATGACGGATTTCTTACTAACCGAGTGATCTTTCACGATAAATATAGGCATTATGGGTTGGCGATTTAATGCCCCGGATCTCTGCATATCCAAAAATTTCGGCGCCAATAGAATTTTATGTTCCAAGGCACAGCATTTCCTTCCTGGAAAATTTTCGGAATTTTGAATTGTTGAATATTCCAAGAAATCAATATTTGCTCAATATGATTGCGTGGATTGCATTATTACTCATTTACACCTTGGTTGCTGTAAATTGTAAAGAAGTGCATGGATTTTGTGATGCTTTGGAATGGTCTATGTATATTTTGGTTCTCGGATTCATGGTGAAAGACATAAGCCTGGTAAAATTCATGAAGTTGATTTTAATACAATGGCAATAAGATTTTATTATAACTTTTATAATGGTTTTTAGTTTTTAAAACACGGAATTAAAATCTATATTCACACAAGGAAAGTGATATCATTAATTCTTTATGTCATATTTGTGGTGGATTTTATATTAAGGGCAAGTAACCATGACTCTGGATCCACCGAAACTTTGAATTCTCACCGTAAAGCCTTATCATTGGTTCCACTGTTTCTTCATTGGCGCGTCATGCTGACACTAGACGCATTCCAAACTGTTGGGAGATGGTTGACTGAAATTTCAAGAATCCTACGCAAGAGTAGGTCATATTTTATATTGTTGGGTTTAGCAACAATTGCCTTTTTCCAATCGTTCTTGGTACTTCACGGAAACTCGGACAGGGTGCCCGGAGAGAGAAATGAATGGTCCATTATGTCACTTCTGGTTAAAGGAATGTTAAAGTGAGTTATTATTACAATTTGGTATTATCACAAATCACACTATTAACAACCTCGTGTCTCTTCACAGTGCACCTGACTTCTCGGGATCTTTGCATCTAGGAGATCAATATGGATTTTATCTGTATTCATTCTACGTTTTTACCGTTAGCGTGATCCTTTTCGCATTCCTGCTTCCGCTTTTCATGACAGCATTCATAAACCGATGTACAGTACCCGAAGAATATTTAGCTCATTTTGCCACGATAGTGGTTCAAGACGTCCGTGACAATATTCCGGGTCAATACAACTACCCTCCGCCTTTCAACCTCCTTTACTACACCGTCGTTCTACCTATCTGTTTCTTAGTCAATATAAGAAAACGTAGAAATCCATTCTTGTGGATAAACATCGAGAAGATATTGACAATGGCTGTATTTTTTATTCCAATGATCGTGTTTGCGATGGTCGAGGTACAAACTAATAGAAAAAAAGATAAAGATGCGAGAGAGGATGATGTTAAAGTTATTCCGGATTTGCCTATACCAAAGGGTGAGGGACAAATGTTGAGAAAGATGTTGACTGCAATTGAAGATATTCACGAATTACAAAAGAATATCCACGCGAGGTTGGAGGCTGTGGAGACACATTTGGGAGTTTATGGCGGTTTATGATTATTTGTTCTCTTTTGTTATCAACTATCATTTATTAGCAGAAACATAATATTTAAATAAGAATTGAAATGTGATTACATATATCAAAGATATTTTTAAGAATGTTATCTGTATCAAATAATTTTTTTTTTGGTAAGCATTAAATGCATGGATTTTATTAAACTTTTATTTGCTCCTATATATTAATGATGTTATATAAAGGAAACTAATCTTAGCCTGTCAAAAGTACATGTATAAATTATAAAAAAAATTATATGTATTTGATTAATTATTATTTAACAAATTTCTTTAGCAAAATATAAAAATAATTTATAATTAATAAATAATGGCTAAAATATTTTTTATTTTCAAATATAATTTAATAATATAATAAAAAAAATTTTTAATAATAATATATTTAAAATATTAACAAGTATTTTATAATATACTGTATATATTTTTAAAAGATTTTTAATCAATTTATTTAAGAATAATTGTAATAAAATCAATAATCAAAATAAATATTATACAAATTATAAAATTCTTTTTTGATAATTTTTCAAAACATGTAAAAAAAATACTTAGAGAAAAACTTTACCAAAAAAAAAACTTATACGTAATATCTTTTTGAAATAAAAAAGAACACATATAATAGATATATTGTAGATTCAAAAAGTATACTAACTTTTTTTATTATTTAAACAAACAAATAGATACTTGTAATTTTTTATTAAAAAAAAAAAATAATAAATACAATTTACAATAAAGTTAAAAGAGAAATTAAGTATTATATTTTATAAGCTATTGATTAATCATATAATATATCAAATTAAATATTTTTTTAAAACATTAATAAGACTTATTATTGATCATTAAATTAAACAATCTTATTATTAATATAAAATTAAAAGAATATTAAAACTTTCTCATTATTGTAATTAAAAAGAAATATATAGATTTTAATAATTATTAAAAATAATCAATAACTGTTATATAATTAAACTTATTTTATTTATTTATTTTTTTTTTTTGCCTCTAATCAGACTGCAAAAGTTGCGTTTATTCATCCAATTTTGGAAAATAGTAGTATAATATAAAACTATACTAAAGCTAAACTATCACTTAATTGCAGAACACCCGTCAATGAATTTAGATTTGTACGTGATCCTTGAATC